AGTATTTGGTACCGTAGCTGCGAGGCATTATGTCTCTTTTACCTAAAATGTTGTGCTACTGGTGCGTCAGAGGTCATGCTATGAATCATCGTCGTCTTATTTTAAAACACCTGGTCTTTAAATTGCACGTTTGTTCTTTCCTACATAACCCAGTCCGCATGGACACTTGTACATAGTCTGTCTGGCATTTAAAGAACCCTTTGAGTTTAACCTGTTGGCTCGACCTTGGATGGGTTCACAATTCACCCATGATTACCCCAGTACAGTGATTGCAGCTTAGGCAGGAGTAGGTATCGTGTACAGGTTCAGAGACCCCACTGCTCATGTGCCTAAATTATTCACACTGTTGTGGAGCAGGCCCTTAAAGATGAGATAATCGATAATTTCCAATTTTCATTTCTCATCAATAAGTTCCCTTGAATACCAGTTTTCATACACCTTCCCTAAGGTTCGCAAGGATGCTCTTCACCCACCTGGCCGCCCTATCGTGGCCAGAACAGACTCTATCTTGCAGCCCCTGGCAATATTTGTAGATCAGTTCCTACAGCCTTTGGTAAAGCATACATTCAAGATACCAAAGATTTTCTTTTAAAAATCAGACAATTACAAGTGGAGTCGACTGATTTACTGATGACACTAGATGTTTCCAGCCTCTACACGTCTATATCCCACAATGAAGGCTTGAGGGTAGTACAGGACAAATTGTCGAGTGTGCTTACAGACGAAAGATTGTGCATATTTGTAACCACGTTATTAGAGATTGTGTTGAGAAAGAATTTATTTAGATATCTGACAATCTTCGATGAACAAGTGTGAGGAAATGTGATGGGGGCGAATATGGCGCCCTCAGACGCAAACCTTTTTATGACAGATTTTGAGGAGCGTTTTGTGTACCCACATGAGCAATTTAGGTTGCATTTCACTAAGTGGCTAAGGTACATAGATGATTGCTTTATGTTGTGGCATGGAACCCAAGCAGAACTTGACGTTTTTCTTATCCCTTTAAATCAGTTTCACAAGGACATCCAGTTTACCAGCATCATCGGTACTGATTCGGTGAACTTCTTGGATGTACAAGTCAGTAAACAGGATGGATCCTACTCATAACTCACACCCCAAATACAGAAAATTATATTTATGTGCAAACTGGTTTATATTACAATCTGACAAACATATAGGTCTCCTCTTTAAAAATCCCCCATTATTTGACGACAAACAGAGTTGATCCATAAGAGACATGGTAGTCAGGGCAGACTCCACACCTATTAAGAAACAGATGTTTCTCTCTAAACCTGTACACAGTACCTACCCTTGCCTAAGCTGCAATCACTGGAGTGGGGAAATCAAGGGTGAATTCTGAACCCATTCAAGGACGGGCCAACAGGTTAAACTCAAAGGGTTCTTCACATGCCAGACAGACTACATTGCTTCAATGCATCTCTATGAAGACATGCTGATTGGCGCAGCACAGCTTTTTGCCCTGCGAAACAGGCTTTCAATACTTTTATATGGGTTCGTATTGGATTGGCTCAAATCAACATGATTGATTTCAGCCATGGCCAGTCATGGTGAGCCCAGCACGGAGTGGGAGAAAAGGTAAGTAAATCTACCTTTAAACTCCTTACTGAATGGCGGTGGACACCTAAATAGGTAGTCCAGCACTATAGTGTTAGGACCGTGTTTGTTTTCCTTACACTATAGTGTTCCTTTAACCCCTTAAGGACCAAACTTCTGGAATAAAAGGGAATCATGACATGTCACACATGTCATGTGTCCTTAAGGGGTTAATGTATGCACTTACTAAAACTATTAGGGCTTGTCATGCAATTCTTTGTTCTGCATTTATCATTTTCTAATTTAGCCAATCTAATTGCCCTCAAGGTTGAAGCTGTTCACTTTGACCAATATAATTTAAATCCCATGTAGTTATTTTTCTATTGTTTTACAGACCTATTTATAAATTATATAGACACTATAAAGTTTGATTACTATTCTCATTTGTAAATACATGTTCTGCTTTCGTGCAAAAAAAAATTATAATAATAATAATAAAAAATATATATAATATATATCATACATTATAAGTAATGCTGATGGTTAGAGCAGTAGTTAACTTTATCTATGCCCACTGACAATTCACAGGCAATCTCCTAGCCTAGAGAGGTATCAGTGACCTATAGTGGTTGTTTCCTGTTACAAGATCACTCAGATGCCTTTCCCACTTGCCGGCAAACAATGCAGGGCCTTTGCAGAGTGCTTTCTGAGTTGGTCAGCACTGCATGGAAATAGGTATAAAAGAAATGTTTGCTTTCTCTCTTGAAACCCTCCCCCTCCCATGTGCACACAGTTTACGTGCAGCTCAAAGAGCATTATTGACCTGCTGTTTCCTCCCCCTCATCCCACATCTGCCTGACTGCTCAGCTATTCGCTGCGTGCATTAACCCTGTGCTAGGCACTTTGCTGAGGGGCTGAGGAACCCTCAATGCCGCTGCTTCATGCCCATAACAGACCTGGTGACGTCACGGGCAACATTACACACACATGGCTGTGCACGAGAGCGAGCTATCTGCGAGGCGAGCTGTGGACGTGCAGTGCAGAGCGAGCTTCCCCTCCTCCCACTTGAGCTATTTAATAGATGTTGACAACACGTGGAACACGTCAGGCCTGGCTTGTCCTCAGCAGCCTTCGCTGTCTCAAGGGAGAGGGAAGTGTGCAAAAATAACAAACAGAGAAAACCGGTTTGTGCAAGAGAGGTGACTTGCACAGCTTTGCTCTTTCTGTCTCTTTAAGGAAGGCTGGATATTTCAAGGTTGTTTTTCTAGTTCTAACTGGAAGTAAACAAAAGAAAATAACAATGCATTTAATTACTGCAAGAGCTGGATGATTTGTCTGGCTCTTTTGCATAACAGTGTCCATGTGTTCTGTATTCTTGTACACATGAATAAGGAATGAGGAGCTTCTAGTTTCACCTTGGCACCACTGCTAGTGCTGGCACACAGGTGATGATGGGACTGGTTAGAATCTGATAATTCTGTTTGTTATGTTTATGTGTAACAATTAACGTAGGTACATACATTGAATTACATTGTGCTTACAGCCATATATAAGAATATGCATACCCCTTGCAAAGCCACTGGCTGTCCCGTCACACCAGACACTTTTTCAGCCAAATGCCTATACATACATACTCTCACGCACATAGACATTTGTATTTATAGTTTATTTCCTTTGAGATGGAGATTGCAATATATGTAAATAGTCTCTGACAGACCCACATCCAGATATACAAGAGCCACAGTCCATGGTAGATTTGCAATGCAATCTGATTATGGGAGAGTTTATACCTTCCCAACTGGACCACGCTGCAATAGGCTACAGTTTTAAGCTTGGCTCTTTGCTGTCTTTGGTATCTACTGTTGCCGAAGTAGGAGAGTTATGTCTCTAGTAATGTCATATACTTGCCAACTTGGGACGTACGAAAGTGGGACATGGAATGGGTGGGCCTAGAGGCGTGTACCAGTGGCGCAACTTGTGTCACTGGTAATGCGCACAATAGGCAGTTTTATCTTTCTGCCAAGAAAGGAGTGTGCTATCCCGGTGTGAACACATGCCACGATGACTGACCGCTTCCCAGCAGGCCTCACTCAGGACCAACAATGCAGAGAGTGTTGCTGAAGACCTCACTAAGTGGTCCTAGGGTCTTTAGCACAGCGCAAGAGTGTCTAATAATTCACTCACACTGTACTGGCTGGGGTCATTTATATTCAGTTCTTGTCCAATAATGATATTGTGAGAGAGGGATAGGGGACACGGAAACAGGTAAATTCTGTCTTCCTAGTTCCTCTGCCTGCATTTTGCTATTGGGAATATGCTTGAATTTATGATGGCAGTTGTAAATAGCAGTTGCTGCCTGTGTGTATAACTCTTACCAATTTTGTGTAGACCAGGACATGACTAATACATAATGCCGAAGCTTACATTGAGGAAAGATAATGTAAGATAAGATTTTGGATCTGGGCTGCCCTAGGCATGATTGAACTAGGGCACCCCCAAGTTTACATTTGGGGCACCCCCTAATTTAAATTTACCCACCCCTTCCTGGCAAGGCCACACCCCTTCCTGTTAAAGACTAACACACACTATGACTGACAGTCACACACACATTTAGATACACTTACATACACACACACTCACTGATTTGACACAATCTGACACACACACAATCCCTCACTGACATACACACACAATGATGCAGAGACAGACACGCACACACAGACACACACAATCTCTCGGACACACACACACATTCACAGACAGACAGACCCTCACTCAGACACACCAGCTCCCTCACAGACACACACTGACAGATAAACACTCCCTCACAGACACACACACTGACAGACATACACACATTCACTGACCGATATATACACACACAGACTCACTGACAGACAGCCAGACACACTCACACATTTCCTTCGAACACTCACAGATTATTTTTTTATCTTAATTTAAATCCACCCAGCCTCCCTACCTTTGGGAGAGCTGGGCGGATTTTTAACCTGGGGTCCAGTGGGGCTACTGACCGAGCTGCTTGGGCAGGAAGGCGGGCGTCAAGTGAGCGCTGATTTGTGAGCTCACTTGCAGCAGCGTGGTCCGGGAGCCTGAATTCGACGTCATATTTTGGCTCCCGGCATCACTCTGCGGCGCACCTGGAGCTCAGCTAGCCACCTGCCCCGAGGCTAACAGGGCATTTGCCTGGGCATTTGGGGGTGTCGTTTTTTTGCTGCCCCCTGGAATGTGCCGCCCAAGGCAAGTGCCTTGTTTGCCTCGCGGCAAATACAGAGCTGCATGCACACAAATAAACGACACACAATAAGCCTCACTTGAAGACCTCTGTCTACATTGCAAATGAAATAGGAGTTGCAAAGTGAGCAGTCCCTGGAGTATAGTGGCTGAAAAACAGAGGCATTGTGTTCTGAGAATCACAGATGCCTTCCTGCAATTTCTGACATGCTGCACATTGGCAAGGAACAACACACTACTTAGTAGTAGTGAGCTTTTCTGAAGAGTTAAGCCCATGCACAGCATCAGTGTCTCTAGCTGCTGTGCAGAGTACTAGGGCTATTAAATAAACATCCCTCACACATAGGCAGTGGGTGGGGGCTATTACTAAAATATACAAAGGTGTGGACTTCCCCACTCAAAATGTTAGGTAATTTTATTTTTCTCGATTCCCCCCTTCCTTCCCTGGGGGGTTAGCAGGATCCCTAGCCAAAACCTGTCCTATAAATACCTACATACCTCTATATAATAATAGTGAGTGGAAGCCCATTAAACCAAGTTCCTTCTACACATAGTTTTACATTTTGGCCAAAATGTCAAGCAAGTGTGGTTATATCTGATGTCTGGCCAAATTATTAAAACTGTTGCCAAAAGGACTGCAAGATTGGTCTCATTTATGTAGTGGACTTTGTCAAAGTTGGAGCAAATACAGATTTGATATCCTGATGGGGTCAACATATCAAGTCCTACACTACTGTCCAAGCCTAAAAGTTACTTGCCCAAAACCTGAAGGGCCCATGGCACACTCACCAGAGGTTAATTTCAACTCATTGAGGCAGAATTTTCACTCAACACTTGCTATTGGGCGAGTGGAAAGTTTGAGCCCTGTGGCTCAATATTTAGAAAACAAAATTTCAAACGTTTTAGTCATGCGTTTCCTATTTCCTACTGTGATTGGCCTTATTTGTAAAATGTATGCAATCTTACAGCTATAAATAGTAGAATGTAAAGTCCACACATTATAATGTCTTTACAGTGCTATTTGAAAGTTGTCTGTTATTTTCACTTCAATGCTGTTACAAACATTTTTGTTTTTGTATGCTTAAGCTTTACTAAATCATAACACTAACCTTTGGCATTTACATCACATTGTTTCCTTGACAGAGAATGAATAATTGGTGCCAATACTAGAAACTCTATATCTGGCATTTATGTTTTTATCTTTTTTTTTTTTTTTGGTTGTTTTCAGTATTAACTTTTCCTGGATAATGTTCAAACAGAACTTTCATTATAACAATTTTGTATTCGTGATCTTCAGTCACACTCTTCAGTAGAAATTATTTATGAACTGATATGTAGAGTGAGAAATATATTAATCAAGTTTTGAAAGTCAACATAGCTCATTGTTTTGTGAATAATCCCTAAAAAGTCTCCTTAGGGAGACATGAAATACACAATTATTGAAGATTATTCATAAATGCGTTTTAAGGATGTAGATTTTTTTTAGGCACTGTAACTGCTCCAATCCATTTAAGTTTTTAATGTATATGGGAGTTCATTGGCAGCATTCTTCTGTTCAGTGTTAGAACATTTTTCATGGTTTAATACTAAATGAGAGTCCCCAGCAGCCTATCCCCTCTGTACTGCTCAGCAAGGGCAGACTGAACACTCGGGCACATTGGTAATCGACTCAAGGCCTAAGACAGTCAGGGTCCTGGTTGCATAGCTATGCACCAGTTGGGGAGACCAGGGAGGCATAATTCAAAGAGATGTATTTGATCGATAGATTGTGGGTTTCCTGATGACACGAATGCTGCCTGTAATTGTATGTGACTGTCTGTAACTGTGTGGCTGCCTTTAACTATGTGTGCCACTGTCTGCCTGTAGCTCCTCTGTGACTGTCTGCCTGTAACTGTGTGTGGCTGTCTGCCAGTGACTGGCTGCCTGTAAGTGTGTGCGTGTGTATGTGTGTGTGACTGTCTGTAACTATGTCTGTGGCTGTCTGCCTGTAACCGTGTGTGTGACTGTCTGTCTGTAACTGTGTGTGTACCTATCTGCTTGCTACTGTGTGCAAAAGTATATAACTGTGTATGAGTGTGTGACTGTCTGCCCGTGACTGCCTTTTACTGTGTTTTACTGCCTGTAACTGTATGTGTGTGTGTGTGTGTGACTTTATGCCCGTGACTCTTTGTGTAACTGTGTGTGCATGTGTGATACTGCCTGTAATTGTGTGTGTGACTGTGTAACTGTCTATCTATGGCTATGTACATGTGTATTTATGTGTGCATCTGACTGTGGGACTGTATGCATGTGACACTGCAAAAATACATATTGACCTACATGAATTTATTAATATCTGAATTACAAATATCTCATACAGTCAATACACACATATCAAACACAGTCAATACATCTAAAACAAATATTACATACGGAGGTACAGAGCAGGTTTCCAGCATACTGGGCCATCAGAAATCAGCATACCACCCTCCATGCCAGGTAACAACAGGGAAGGAGGTATTAATATATATATATATTTTTTTTTTTTAACCCCTTAACACTGTTAGGGCAGCATAATACGCTCCCCAATTTACTTACCTAGACCAGCAATCCGCGGTAATCCCGGTCGGGGGGGACTACCTCTCGAAAACAGGCAGTCCCCCTGCTTCCATTTCGGCCCTCCAGGCCATGTAAGCGTGACGGACGTTGCAATAACATGACCGCAAAGCAGTCTAAATCATCTGATTAGCATATTATACATACATAATACATATATAATTTAATAATCTATATATTAATACCAAAATACACTTAGAATTAAATTATATATGTATAATATATTAATCAGATGATTTAATTGACTTATAATATATTATACATATATTAATAAATGATATACATAAAATAAAAATGTAAAAAGTATATATGTAATATCATAAGCATATCTTGATATATACACTGCACAAAATTATAGAAACATAGAATGTGACGGCAGATAAGAACCAGTCTGCCCAATTTTCTAAATACTTTCATTAGTCCCTAGCCTTATCTTATAGTTAGGATAGCCTTATGCCTATCCCATGCATGCTTAAACTCCTTTACTGTGTTAACCTCTACCACTTCAGCTGGAATGCTATTCCATGCATCCACTACCCTCTCAGTAAAGTAATACTTCCTGATATTATTTTTAAACCTTTGTCCCTCTAATTTAAGACTATGTCCTCTTGTTGTGGTAGTTTTTCTTCTTTTAAATATAGTCTCCTCCTTTACTGTGTTGATTCCCTTTATGTATTTAAATGTTTCTATCATATCCCCCCTGTCTCGTCTTTCCTCCAAGCTATACATGTTAAGATCCTTTAACCTTTCCTGGTAAGTTTTATCCTGCAATCCATGAACCAGTTTAGTAGCTCTTCTCTGAACTCTCTCTAAAGTATCAATATCCTTCTGAAGATACGGTCTCCAGTACTGCGTACAATACTCCAAGTGAGATCTCACCAGTGTTCTGTACAATGGCATGAGCACTGAGCATTTTGTTCAGCGTATATATTTATCAAAATACACTTAGAATTATAATTTATATATATGTATGTGTGTATGTTTGTGTGTGTATATGTGTGTATATATATATATATATATATATATATATAGCACAAATAATGGCACTCACCCTTCCTGATGTAATGAATAGTAAAGTGCCCTGGTGCAATCTTATGCTGATAAATAATTATATTAAAGAAAGATGCACTCTTCGGTCTTTTTAAGAATATTAACGGTCTTCAATCCATCAAAGGTTTACAGGTTGTTTGATCAACGTTTCGACCCGTTTGGGTCTTCCTCAGGATCAACTTATAACCATAAAATCAAGATATATATAGAAAAAGATAGACAGTACTCTCCAATTGTGATGTGATTCCCTCATCCATTCAGTCCAAACCCAGGAAGTGAAAGCCAGAAGTCACGTGACATACAGGATCATGTGAGAGTGATGCCAGTGATGTGAGTTGCTAGGAGATCAATGAAAATATTATAGGAATGGTCTCATATGATCAAACAACCTGTAAACCTTTGATGGATTAAAGACCGTTAATATTCTTAACAAGACCGAAGAGTGCATCTTTCTTCAATATAATTATATAAATATATATAAATATATATATATATATATATATATATATATATATATTTAACATGTATATTTATCTACTATTTTTACATAATTAAGTAATTTTATTACTTATAATTCATGGGACCTGCCTGACAACCCAGGCAGAAAGTCCAGCGAATTTAATTTACAAGCCCTATATTTAACCCTGTAACTTTCCAAAACACCATATGGGGTACCGCTGCCGCTGGGTGGGGAGGGTTTCCTCATGGGCTCCAGGGGGTCTCTTTGTCCTAGCCCTCCCCTCCCTCTTTTGTCCGGGCGGGGTCCGCGGGCGATGTGGGCTCCCCGCCCCTCCCCCCTTCCAATGTTTCTCCCCTCAATTATTGTGTCCCCCTTTTCATTATTGTTCCCCCCCCTTTCAGTGTGGTGTCTCCCTCTTCTTCTATTTTGCTTTCTCCTCTTTTTTATGGTCCCCCCCTCTTTCTTTGTTGTGTCCTCCCCCCTTTTTCTTTGTTCCCCCTTTTTCTTTATTGTACCCTCCTCCTCCTTGCTGACCTTCTTTGCCCTTCCACCCCCCTCTCCCTTCCCCCACCCTCCCTCTCCTTACCTGTCTCGGCAGCCTTCTGTCCTGGAGCGTTGGCTCTTCATCTCTCCACTGCTGCTTCAGGCTTTGGGTGCAGTTCCCGGATCCGTCCAGCAGGTGGCGTCTGAAGCTCCAGTTGCCATGGGAACGCGCTGCAGGTAATGGACTCCTCTTTTCAAGCTGCTGTCTCTTCTATGGTGCCGCCAGCAGTTTCTGGGGTGCAGTCAGGTGAGTAATGTCTTCCTGCGCTGGCTGGGGCGCCTGCTGTAAGCGGGTTCATTTTGGGTTTATTTAAAAAAAAAAAAAAAAAGTACCGGTCAGCCATGCTCAGTGTAGTACCAACCTGGTAATTTAAGACTATGTACTCTTATTGCGGAAGTGTTACTTCTTGCAAACATAGTCTCCTCCCTACTGCGTTGATTCCCTAAATTCCCTAAAACCTGGCCGGCGCGCTTAAAGGGGGTTTGTCCTCCTTTCCTGGGGGGGCGGCTCCGCCCCAGTGACCTTGCAGCATGTCAGCCGATGGAAGCGGGGTGGGTCGTGCTGCTTTAAGCTCAAATGCTCCCATCGTGGTGGGGGCTCACTCTGCCTCCTGCTGTTTCAAGAGGGGTAAGTCTGGAGAAAAAGCGGACTTGGGGCGCATGGCGGCGACGCCAGTGCTCGTAAGTGCGATGCGCCCATGGCTCGACCGGTACTGGAATCAGCAGGCCGTGGGGCTCCTGCTGGAGGGGGTCACCCGAGGCTTCGGGATCCCCTTCTCAGAACGCCCGGCTTCGGGGCGGACCTTGAAGAAAAGGTTAAGGGAACTTCACATGTATTGCTTGGGGGAAAGTTGAGACGGGGGAGATATGATAGAAACATTTACATACTTAAAGGGAATCAACGCAGTAGGGAGGAGACTATGTTTGCAAGAAGTAACACTTCCGCAATAAGAGTACATAGTCTTAAATTAGAGGGGCGAAGGTTTCACAATAATACCTGGATGTGTTACGTTACTGAATGGGTAGTGGATGCATGGAATAGCCTTCCAGCTGAAGTGGTAGAGGTTCACACAGTAAAAGAGTTAAGCGGGTGTGGGATAAGGCCAGGGACTAATGACAGTAGTTAGAAATTTGGGCAGTCTGGATGGGCCGAACGGTCCTTTTCTGCCATCACATTCTATGTTTATGTTTCTACATCAGTGCTCGACTTCCCGCAGATGGTGCTGGATAAGCTCCTGCAGGAGCCCTGTCGCTCCCCAAGTTGCAGGTGCCCAAGTAGGAGGCAGGGGAGTTTCAGCTGATTCATCGTTTGCCCTACCCTCAAGGGGTTTCGGTTACAGGTGTCGGGCCTCCTAGGCATCCTTCGATGCTGTGGTACTGTCACGTATTCATCCGCTTATAAAAATGTGGTTAATGACATTTACTGTCCACACAGAAAAAGTTGTGCCGAGCAGCAACCAAATCCACAGAAGGGTTAATGCTGAGCAGCAATTATGCAATTGGTCAAAGGCTGGTTACAGCCTATCAGATCTAGAGGAGGGGTATTTAGGCCCAGTTCTCATCCTGCTCAGTGCCTTGTCGTGGTTTCCCTTGTGGTTGTCCGATAGCGCGTTGATTCTGGTATTTCTGGTTATTTGACTTTGGCATTGTTTTTGACTTCCCTGCTTTCTGGCATCCCTGACTCCTGGCTTTTCCTTATCGTTGTGTCTCTTTCTGTTTCCCTTGACCGTGGCTATTCCTGACTATTCTTTGATACGTTAGTCCAGCCATTCTAAGGTCCGGTATACGTTACCTATCAGTCCTCTGTGTTATACAATTCTACGTGCTGGATCATTCTGTAATCCTGACATGTAAACATGGTTGGGGCAGTGGGACATGGGGCTTTGCTGGCGAAGGCCAAAGTCGAAGCCACGTTTCGCTTGTTGCCAGTTCCTATGGATTGTCATATGACGGTATTGTGGACGGTATTATGTGGATACGTGCTTCCCGATGGGTTGTTCGTATCCTGCTTTTACGTTGAATGCATCAGCGCTTTCCTGGAGAGGGTGGTGCAGCAGGAGGCAAGGATTGGCTCGTTGCTGTGTTACCTTGATGGCTTTTGTGTGTGGGCCTTTTGCTGACTGGTCGACTCTTGTTCGACTCGGCGGAGCTTTATGGTCCTCTTTGAGCACGATAAGACAGTGGGGCCCAGTGATGTGCCTTAGCTCCTTGGGTATCAAAATTGACTCTGTGGCCATGGAGTGTTGGCTGCCACGGGATAAGGTTGAGAGGGTGTGGCGATGGCCAGGGGTCTGAGGAGGATGCAGCTGTGCAAGCTGCAGTCCCCGTTAGGGAGGTTGACCTTCAACTGCCAGATCGGGCCCATGGGGCATTTGTCCCGCAGGTGCCTGGTGGCCACGACTACCGGGGCCGCAGCATTTTATCCGGCTCACGAGGCGATTGCGGGTTTACCTGGAGGTCAAGGTTTCCTTCCTGGCCGAGTATATTGGAAGGTCATCTTGGCAGGCACCAGAGGAGTCTCGTTCGGACTTGCCCCTCTATACGGACACGGCTGGCTCTGTCTGGTTGGGGCGCTTCTGGGATCGTGCTGGTGTGCTGATATGGTTGGCGGCGTGGTCTGCCTCCGGCTTGACCAGGAATCTTGCCTTCCTGGAGCTTTCCCATTGTGGTGGCATTGGATTTATGGGGTCGGGAGCTACAGGACCGTCAGGTTGTTATTCACTGTGCCAACCTCGGGGTTGTCCAGGCAATTAGCCAGATCTCTGCCCCCTTTTCTCTTTCGGTACTTCTCCTGCTCCGGTGCCTGTGTCTTAATGTGTTGTGTAGGTCCAGTTCCTCTTTGGCCAAAGTACTCCAGGGTATGGGTGGAATGGCAGGCGCGGGAATCAGAGGTGGGTGTTTTTGCGGGTTCACCAGCTCGTTACAAGGTCTGTTGTAACCGCTGGAGTGTTGGATTTCGGGCGGATATGTCACCCTCCGGGGTGTCCTCGCGCATGTCCAGTTTAGTTTTCTGGTTAAGTCCCAGGGTTGGGTGGATGTAACCTCTGAGTTTCTGGTATGGCATGCGGTGTAGGGCCCATGCAGGGGTCGTTTTCTGTGGATCCCAAGAGGCCATTTTGGGGCCCTATGGGTACAATTGTGCCAGGTGCTCCCAGAGGTATGCCTCGCTGTTTCTTCCTTTCTTTGGGACCATGAGGATTGGGGTATTGGTGGGTCCGAACTGGTCAGCCGGTGGGGGAGGAATCTGTTTGCGGATGTCCGGGATGGTCAGGACCTGGTGTCCTTCAAAACTCGTCCATACCAGACCGACATCCTCGGCAAGGGCAGGTGGGTCCCGCTGGCGGCAGTCCCAGGATTGGACACTTGTCTGGTCAGGGAGTCAGCGGTACGGCCATCCCTGGCTGGCCCCCTCATGGTATACGAGGAGGGGAACTTCCTCTCCCATATTCAATTTGTTTGGCGGTCATTCTTTCCGCATTGGCGCTGCGACGGAGGCATCTCGGCTGGGTATGCCAAATTGGGATATGCGGAGGATAGGAAGGTGGGATTCTAGGAGATTTGTTCCTGGTTCGCTGGTTTGCTCCGTTGATTGTTTTTTCCTTCTCGGGGCGGATGATTGAGCACTCAATGGTGGTAGTTCGGTGGTTCTGCCCCGGGAGGCATGAAGTGGGTCTTGCTCCTCCCGGAAGTGGTCAGGTTCTCTCACTTGCGGGGGGGTGTCATTGGTTCTGGTCATTCCCCCTGGGGGGTACTGACCTGGGGTCGGTGCCGCTTGGAGACTTGGTGGACATAGGGAAGCGGGACTTATCCAAGATCCTTATGTCATTTCTGTTTTTTTTTTTACATAGTGTGGTCGGAGGTTGTGGCAAGGAACTATTGGCGGCAAGCACACGGCCAGAGTGCGTTGGAGAACTGCCGTGAAGGGTTCAACTGTTGGGATTCACGGTTCGTTATAGGGGTTTGGGGGATATCCATTTTCGTAGGGTTTTGAGGAGGAGGTCGCAGATTTGTTGCAGCCGGATGGGGTTCATTTGACTGAGGTCGGGCTTGACCGTTTTAATCTGGCCATTCGAGAGAGGGTGGAACATGCCATGGTTGGTTTGTTTGGGATCCCCTGCTGATTTTCGGCTTAAAACAACGGGGTTGTGGCGGGGGTGTGTCCTTGCCAAATAGGGATGGTCTGGTAGATTAGATGAAAAAGGGAGATAATGGCCGGGTCTCATCCTCCTCCTGTCTCTTATGGTGAACCTGGAGGAGGTGCCAGGTTAGATGTGTCCCCACTGGGTTGTAAGTCGACCGGTGGGGAGCATTATGGTTGGGACCCACCGAGTGGAAAACCGGTTGGTGGGGAGCCCTGAAAAGGAATATGTTGTTATTATGCCGAAGGGGGGAGGTGAGAACCTTGGGGAAGTTAGATTGGCAAGGACGGTTTCTTCGGTTACTGTATGACTATATGCAAACTGTTTATGTTAATTTATAATATTTATTATTTTGTTATACGTTAAAGGAGTTATACAGTATTTGGTTGTGTTAATAAATGCTGTGGCCTGTTTTCTCCAAGAAGTTGTCTGTCGTTATTTGAAGGGGTAAGTTGTGGTTATGGGGGATGAAGGGAACACTATCCAATGCCCACTACGTACATACATGACCTTGTCATCTCAAACTCACTCACAATACTGGCACTCACTGAGACCTTTCTGTCCCCCTCTGATACTGCTATTCCCGCTTCTTTATGTTTCGGTGGACTACAATTCTCTCACACTCTCAGACTTGACTGTAAAGGAGGCATTGCCCTTTCCTTTACTTCCTTTGAAGTTCACACTGTCTCCTTTAAGAATTGCCCCACCCCCAGTCATCCTACACTATTCATTGAACACTTTTCTTCCTGGCTACCCCAATTTCTCTCCTCTAGCACTCCCTCCCTCATACTTGGGGACTTTAACATCTCAATCAACAACCTTAACTGCCCTGATGCTTCCTGTCTACTCTCTGTAACCTCCTCCTTTGGCCTCACACAGTTGTCTACTTCAGCAACTCATTTAGCCGTAAACACTCTCAACCTCATCTTCACCAATCTCTGTACCACCTCTAATCTCCCCACTGTCCTGTTTCCTTTGTCTGCCAACCATCTGCCAACTTTTGACATCAGCATACCCCGTACCCAAATTTCACCACCCTCAACAATCTCGCAGAAAACTCAACTGCCTTGATCTCCAGCATTTCTCCACCAAACTCCAAACTCTCCTTTTACCCATCTCAAATCTAACTTGCCCTAACTGCAACCTCACTCTACAACCCAACTCTCTCCTCTCAACTCAACATCATGGCACCTCCAACAATTAAACGCAGCAAGCGCCCCCAATTACAACCCTGGCACACCAAGCTGACCCGTTACCTCCAAAAATGTTCTTGAACTGCTGAACGCTGCTGGAGAAAGTCTCACTTTGCATCGGACTTCCTCCACTATAAATTATGCTGCGTTCCTACAGCCTGGCTCTTTCCGCTGCAAAATAAAATTACTTTAACACCCTCATAAGTACATTGTCCCATCAACCCAAACACCTATTTCACACTTTTGACGCTCTTCTTTGCCATTTTACCGCCCCTCCTTCTACCACCTTGTCCGCCACAAACTTTCCATCTCACTTCACTGAGAAGATCTCTACAATCAGAGAAGAAATCTCTAATTTCTCTCCTTCCCCTACCAATACATCACCCAACCCCACTACCTCCACCATTCTACACTCATTCGCACCTGCTACAGCAGAAGAGGTTTCTGCTCTGCTCCGGTCCTCCCACCCCACCACTTGTTCCCTCAATCCTATTGCCCCATATCCCATCCTCACTTTGTCTCCCTCTCTTGCTCTTCCTCTCACTAAAATTTTCAATCTTTCTCTTTCCTCTGGCACATTACCCTTCAAGCATGCAACTGTATCCCCGATTCTGAAAAAGCCCAGCCTTGACCCCAACTACCATTTGCGTCCAAGATCCTCAAGAGAGTTGTGTACACCAGACTGACTGACTTTCTCAAATCCTACTGTGACCAAAGTATCCAATGATTTAGTTGCTGCTAAATCTCGCAGCCATTACTCTATCCTAATTCTCCTTGATCTTTCTGCTTGATCATCAACAGCTTCTTCGCATTCTCTTTAATTTTGGTCTACGGGATACTGCTCTCTCCTGGTGCTCCTCCTACCTCTCCCAGCGCTCTTTCAGTGTTTCTTTCTCTGCCTCTGCCTCTTCCCCTTAACCACTCTCTGTCGATGTCCCCCAAGTTTCTATCCTTGGTACCCTACTGTTCTCTATCTATACTGCCTCCCTTGGTAAACTCATCAGCTCCTTTGGCTTCCGTTATCATTTCTGTGCAGATGACACGCAAATTTACCAGTCCTCTCCTGATCTCTCTCCACCCATCTTGACTCGTGTCTCTGACTGCCTCTCTGCGATTTTCAACTGGATGGCTGCTCACTTCCTTAAACGCAACCTGTCCAAAACAGAACTTCTGGTCTTTGCTCCCTCAAGTGTTACTACTCCAATGTCTGTCTCCCTCCAAGTCAACAGCGCTACCATCACCTCTACCTCGCACGTTCACTGCTTGGGTGTTCTTTTTGACTCTAACCTCTCCTTCACCCCTGATGTTCAATCAATCGCCAAATCCTGTTGCTTTCATCTCAAAAACATAGGGCATATCCGCCCCTAATTCACGTCAAATGCGGCTAAGGTGCTGGTCCATGCTGTTGTTCTCTCTCGCCTTGACTGCTGCAACACCCTTCTCAGTGGTCTTACGTGTTCCCAGGTTGCACCACTGCAATTTATAATGAATGCGGCTGCGAGGCTCATTTTCCTCTCCACTCGCACCTCCCATGTCTCCCCGCTCTGTCAGTCCTTGCATTGGCTTCCAGTTAGATATAGGGCTCAATTTAAATTTCTGGTGCGTGCTTACATAATGCTGCTCAAACCTACCTATCCTCCCTAATACACAAGTATGTCCCGTCGAGACCCCTGTGTTCTGCCAAAGACCTACGTATATCCTCTGTCCATACTGCCACCTCTAATGCTCACCTCCAAGATTTCTTCAGGGCTGCACCTCTTCTGTGGAACTCCTTTCCCTTCTCCATAAGACTTTCACCCAGTCTCCACTCATTCAAAAAATCATTGAAAACTCACTTCTTCAAGAAAGCATATCAATTAAACTGTTAGCAGGTTTTTATCCCCCACCCCCATGACTTCTCTCCTGCAATGGTCAAAAATTACCTACTAAGCCCTGAATCCTTTTCTAACAACTTACTTCATATCCCTACTTATACCCTCTAGAATGTAAGCTCATTGAGCAGGGCCCTCCACCTCTCTGTTCCTGTACGTCCAGTTGTCTGGTTACAATTACATGTCTGTTAGTCCACCCATTGTACAAGTCCAAGCTATAAGACTTGCTTTTCCCTCAAAAATCTCACTTTAACAACTCACTACTGCAAAGGATTCTGGGTAGGGGTATGCAAACAAGCTCAACAAAGTTTTCTATATATATATATATATATATATATATATATATCATCAGAAACCTGTAAAAATATGTTTACTGTTAAGATAATCCTAAACTGACAAAGATTGTGAAAAAGGGATGAGGTCTCAGAAGTGGTTTTCGATTCCAACAAGTTACTCTGGGAAATTACACATAATACTTAAGGGGTGTCTAAATAAAGAGAATGTTTCTCACCAAAAATCCAGTTAAGGGCCTTTTCTTTTTCCCACCATCTTGTCTCTTGTTAAAAGTTTAAAAGTTTTTCCTGTCCATGTCTTCTATACAGTTGGTCTTTCCAGATATTCATTTTTTGTGAGAGTCTCCAATAAAGGTTGCCAAGTGATTTGTGAAGACCAAAAAATTTTTTTGCTTCCAATACTTGACAGCAATCTGAGACACACAGGTTAAAGATATGACTATAGCACCAAATGTAAACCGCATGTGACACTACCTTCGCGATCTGTAGACGTAGTCCCACATACCCACTCCTCATATTTCATGCACCATCAGATGTTTCACTGGCAATGTTTTCGAAATCTAATCCAAGTACATCAAAACAGGATATTAGCAGTTCATGAAATCCTTTTCCTGTAGCATCTTTAACAGCGAGAATCGCCACAAGCCGTTCTTGAACGGTTTCATCTTGCACATACCTCGCAAACCACTGTTGCTTGATCTACAATTCCAACATCTTGTGTCGAGTCAACCTATATACTGAATCATTTCTCTCAGATTTCAGACACAATTAAGTTCTTCATGCTTCGAACTATTGCTGCAAATACTTTCTTTATTGTATTATTGGACAAAAATGTCACAAGAAATCCACGTCCGGTTGAATGTTTTCCTGATGTTTTTCTGTCTTTCAATCGCTGTTTTCTTTTCTCACTGTCCTGAACACATTTATCAAGGTGATTTTTAAGAGGAACATCATACTGTGATAGAAGTAGGACAATTTCCAGAAAGTTCCTATGGTTTATTTCAATGTTATTTAAATTGTACAGTGATTCATTAGTGCCATGGGCATAAAATGGCAATCCCTGTTTTTCGAGCAGTTTTACAATATAAAATATACGGTTTAATACCTCATTATTTTGAAGCATCTCCTTCTATCTTCTGGAGGCTTGAGACTTATTTATTAATGTGTCAATGCTT